AATTAAATTCAAAGTTATTTAAGGGTTGCTTGTAAGACCTCAACAGCACAGGCTTCAGTCTGGGATGTCAGTGTGAAGTGGTGTTATGTACAGTGGTCCATGTAAACAACAGAAAGTAAGTTTCCCAGGTGGATATGGTTTATTTCCTGAATTTGGATCCTGGTAATATGAAAGAATTGATGAGGGTTGATAGTCTTGTGTGCTGTGCTATAGAGCTTGCCCAGTCATTGTGGAGTGGCAAGCTTCAGCTGTGTACTGGGAGCAGAAGGCAGATCAAATTTAGTTTTTCCTCAACAGTGTGCTTTAAAACTTTAGGGGGATCCTTTTCAAACAAGCAAACAAAAACTGGGGTATATGGATAAGAGGCACACCCATTAACTTGCACCACTCGTGTTGGATTTTTTATTTGCCTTATACACAAGCAAAAAAATGTATGGACTACAAGAATGCCATGGTTGTTGACTGTTTTGATACTTTTTGCTTATTTTTCTGATTCTTATGACCCAGCCAAAGTAGGAAAGATTTGTTGTGGTTAAGAGTTTACCCTGGAAGAATTCCTGAAACAGCTTTGCTTAAACTTGTTCTGCATAATAATGCAGTTCTGAGTTCTTAAGTTCTTTAAGTAGCTTTCTGATCTGAGAAATCCAAGGTCAGGAGAAGGTGGAGGTGTTCCATGGCAGAACAGGCACCCTGAAGGGACTGGACACCCCTGACAGGACTGGAGCCTGTGGAGGACCTGTGCCAGAGCAGGTACACCCTCAAAAAGACTGCAGCCCCTGGAGGACCATGTCAGCATGGGAAAAGAGCAAGAGGGAAGGCACAGCACAGAGAAACCGCTTTGTACCTGGAAATTCCACCCACCCTGCACCCTGAAGCTTCGCATCACCTCACTGAAGGGACTGAGTGTAACCTGCAGCAATGACAAGAGGGCAGAGAGGAGCATGGAGTGAAGTTGAGCCTGGGAAAGTGGGAGGAAAGGTGTTTTAAGGTTTGTCAACTTGTTTCCCAAACCCTGAATCAGTAATTAAATAGTTATGCTAATTGGCAATAAATTGAGTCTGTTTAGCCCACATCAGTACTTCGTAAAAGATTTCCCTGTCTATATTTTGAACCACAAGTTTTCTTACTCCTTTTCCTCCTGTTTTCCCTCCTGTCCTGCTTGGGGCAAAGGAAGCAGCTGTAGGTGCCTGGCTGCCAGCCAGGGCCGACTCACCACAGGGCATGAGCTGCTCCCAGGCATGTGACATTGCTGGTATGTCAGGCAACAAGCAGGGGACTTGTAGCAGCAGGTCTGGCCCGTGGCAGGTGCGCTCCTTTTGTAGGAAGTCGCATGTTTGGGTCTGCTCACAGGCCCCAGCTAAACACCTTTTCTGTTTGGAGTTTAAGCACCGTTTCTGTTACGGTATTCTATACCTGGTTTTAGTATGTGAATTGTGGACATACAAAAATTCTACTGTACACAAATGAATTAAAGTACACTTTAAAAATGCCACTTTTACAATACAGCACCATTGTGATAAAATGAGTGATACCCGTTTTCAGTTTTCCTTTAGTCTCTCCCTTTTGACATACTCTGTACACACCAAGAGATGAAATTCAGTTCAAAAGACACTTTCAGTATTAGGCCTGTGCATCTCTTTCCTTTCCTTATGAGAAACAGCAAATGAAGCAAAAATGGCCACATTTCTTAACAGCGGATCAGGACTCAGGCTATGCAGCGTTTTTCTTCCACGGATGCCTTCCAGAAATCTGTTGCAGAGGGATATGAAGGAGAGGGAAGAGTCTGAGGGCTGCCCTGAGGATTTGCTGTGAGTTAGAGCCGGGCATCTCCCCTGCTTCCTGGCCGTGTGGGTGCAGGGTTTGCTAGGGCGACGGGCCAGTGAGTCTCCTGATTGTGAACCACCGGTTGTGAAGTTACTTCCAGGGTGGTTCACCCCAAATGGCTCTAATGCCAATGACCTCCGAGGACAGCCAGCATAATTTTCTGTGTTGCTATTAATAGCCTGCTTGCTGGTTAGCGTAAAATTCACTTTTCTGGGCCAGCACAGGATCCAAAGCTCTCAAATGGAATCGTAAGGGTAATTTGGACTGTAAGGACTAGCACAAGGCCATTGCTTTTAGGAGTGTTTTTACTCATGAACAGTTTCAACTATTCCTTTTCACACAGAATTTCATAATTAGGTAGCCTATGAATAATTTACCAATTATTTTTCTGCTTATAGTCACTGGACAAATGATTGCAGAATTAAAGCATATGCTGCTTTAAGCTTTGGTCTGTCTTACTTGCTTTCTAATACTAAGCAATTTATCTGCAGTTTCATTTTGAATTTGTACGATATTTCTGACAAATGCCTTAGAATCAGCTAAGCGTGAAAGGGGAATTTACACACCTATTAAATATTTAACCTATCAGTGGTAGCTTAAAAATGTCTCCTATATAATATGTTCTTAGAGAACATAGTAAAATGTTAACTGGCACAGATGTGAAAGTTCTGCATCAAAGTAATAGAAAAACATGCCTGGTTTACATCATGTTTTTAAATCAAACAAAAGAGCAAGATAGTAAAATGCCATGAAATGACTTAGATGACAGATCTTTTATTGTTGATTCTCTCAGATATTTTTAAGATTTTTCTGTGTACTTTTTCAGGCTCAGTGAACACAGATCCAATTCCAAAATCCCATTTTACTCCATCTTATTTGTCTTCAACTTGTCTTATGACAAAGCTTGCAAAAACATAATGTATAATGTTTTCCTTTATTGTTTACCTAAGCGCAGTTAGCACTAAAAGCCCCACTGTTGGTGCAGTTAGCGCTAAAAGCGACTGCCCTTCTCCAGGGAGTGTCTGACCTGAAAAGAGGCTGCAAATGAGTAACAGAGACTGGTGTGAGTACTGTCAGGAAAAGCTCATTTATGAGACCTTACTGTGGAATTACCTAAATCCACTGAGGAAGTGAGGGCATCACCAGAGGAAGTGGGGTATGTCTGCTACTGCGAACATAAGCTTAAGCTACTAGCCCATTATGGTTTTAGCTGTGGCCTTTTTGCAAACCTGAAAGAATAGGTGACTAAGGTACAGTGCTCCACTGCATGCTGCTTTCTTCTCACAGGAGTAAGCTCCAAACCTACTCAGCACCTTGGAGAGTCACGACGATGGTTTTTTACTTCAAACCGGAAAGCTAGTCTTGCCTGCATGTGGGATGCTGTCTGAAGCAGGAGGGGATTAAATTCTCTGATACAGTTCAGCGGTAGGGATCTGCACATCCTCAAAAGACTATGTGGCATGCCAGATCTGAAGCGTGCTGCTGGGATTGCTAAAGAGTGAACTGAGAGGTATGCCCTGTCCCACTGGGCCATGAGGACCAAGTGGGAAATGTTCCCCGAGACCGGTGGGGACTAGGACGTGCCCCAGGTGGGCTCTTGGCCCTTTCCCAGGGGAAAGAGCAGGGCAGTTTGTTGCCCATCACGTAAGCACTGCGGATCAGAGAGGTTTGGCTGGCTTTGTCAGAAGTAAGTTCCACAGCCTGATGTATTTACACTTGAATGGACTTGCCCTCTGACTACTCTGTTTTCCTCTGGCTCAGACTGGAATGTCTGTCTTTCCTGCTCTTTGAGTTTGGGTAGCCAACTTTTAAATTGGCTGATCAGCTTGTGGTACTCATGATGGCTTCAGAGGGAGTTTTCTTTGAATTAGGACTCTTGGACGTGGATCTCTGTTTCCTTGAAAATCCTTTTGCTGGGGGCACCTCTCTTAGTGAATACAAATTGAAAAGAAAAGTGCTGGAAAAGACATTTTATTCCATTCTTAAGTGGTAAAAGGAGCATTTGTGGCCCCCTCACACATGATGAATTCTCTATTTGCAATCTGTGTTTTCAGTAGTTTCACCATGATTCAAATATGCATTTCATAGTTCAGGTTTTTTAGCTGAATGAAGAAGGTATAAATGTGTTTTAACTTTTCCAAAAGGTGATTTAGCTTATAAATGTTTTAATAATCAATGCTTTAGAACATAAAAAGCATCTCTAGAGCTATGATTCCATAAGGATGTTAAAGGTGATGGTTCTTTTTTTTTTTGGTGGTGGTGTGTTTACAAAAGAAACAAAAAATGAACAAAACTTACTAGCTTCAAGTTTAGACAATTGTCCTAACACTTCTTGGATTCATCGCTCAGATAAGTTCACTCATTTTATCACCATGCTACTATTTCTTTTCAATTAATACTAGAAACTGCTTTGTTTCTTCAGCTACTTGGATTGGAGCTTAATTTAACTGCTCTTAGAAATTAATTGCAAATATAAATATAGTTTTTTAAGGATTTGTTATCTCAGCTAATTTTATTTTCTTACATAATCTGCTGTTAAAGGGATTTGCAACTTTTTGTTGCTTATGAAAGCCCAATTAACAGTTCTTTCACTGTTTGGTCCAGTACCGCCATGGTAAAAGACTTTGATCTTCATTGTTTTTATTATGAGGGTTTTTTAACAATTACATTTCCCCCTTCTCTCAGAAACAGCATATGCATGTTTCTTTAGCTTGGGAAATTCAGCTCTAGGACTCTAAGACATTTGGATGTTTGCGCATCTGTATCTATAAGGATAAATATTGATATTATGCCATATAAATGCATGTGCTCTTCCTGTTGTGAACGCCATTTCTAACAGAAATCCATTGTCTTGCACAACATGTTTGGTTTTCTTGGTATTCCCAACTTGATTTAACCCTCCAAGCTCAGCTTGTTACCTGTATGTTATGACAGTGGACTCCACTGTGACAGTTTCATTTTCTTGAAATAAGTTGTTAATGCTAGGTCTTACTACCTTTAGGTGTGTGTACATGTGGATGAGGCTCAACAGATCTCTCATCTTTCAGTCTTATATATCCATTCAAACCAAAAAAAGAGCGCTGCACGCTTTCAAATATATTCAAATATTAAATACTGTTTAAACCTTTAGCATGTTTGTTTTATGCAAGTCTCACTCTAGCTGTTTGTTTGGCTTGTTAGCTGTGCTTCAGGCATACCTGGCATCTACTGATTTTTTTCCTCTGCTCTTGTCCTTCTTTAAGAGTTCCTGACAAGGGGGCTGATGCAAACTGCAACTCAGGCATCACGGTTGTTAGCCAGAAACTGTATTCATTGGCGAAAAATTGACATGTTCCCCGCTGACCCTGGCATTCAATGAATGGTGCTGATCTGAAGTCTTCTAGGCAACTTCCAGGTGACATAAGGGACTGTCCACCCCCCTGATCACCAGATCCAGTGTGCTGGAAAGAATAATGAAAGAACTTGATAACTGTGCATGAAAGATAAGTAAATTATGTTAATCTGGCTTTTTTTGCATTTAACTGTGCTATTTTTGGTGATCTTAAGTTGGAGTAAGCTTCCTTTGCTGGAGAAAATCCTAATTTGTTCTGTAATGAGTTAATCTCAGAAGTCTAGAGCTAGCTTGCTTATTTTTCTGGCGTTTATCAAACTGAAGACAAGAGTAATCCAGGTGGATTCTAAATGATGCTGTTATCTAAACTGCTGCAAATGTAACTAGAGGATGGTGTTAAAAAGATCTGGACCTCTAATTCTGAAAAGTGTGTCTTTGTACATGAAAATCCCGTTGTTTATTAAAGACAAGCAAGCAAAATCTTTGTAATTTTAAGAAACGTGTAGCTTAAGGCTATCACTTTAGTGTATACAGCTACAACCAGGTTCTGCAATTTGGAACTAACCCTTGTCTTGTTTCTTGTTTTCCTTTTTAATGTTTGCTAGACATTGGATAGCTTGCTTTTCAGAACAAAACATCCTTGAACCTTTAGAACACAAAAGCTGTATGAAAGAAACTTACACATATGATCATGTGCCCAGGCTCTTACCATCAGAAAGGAATATCCTATCCACAGACTTCTCCAGTTCACTGGGCAGGGAGGAATCGACTGATCTTGGCTGTGAACTGCTACTGCTTGGGCTGGGGCCTCACATACAGCACACCTGCTTATGTACGGCTGTATTTCTTCTTCAGAGAGCGGCGTCATTGGTAAAGGAGCAGCGCTTGACAACCAGTAAGACTTATCGTTTCGACTGGCGTAGTAACAGACTTGGTTGATGTTACAGTAAGCAAAGGGCATGGTATTAAACACAGGAAGACAAGATCCTGCCAGACCTGAAAATAATAACAAATGATGAAAATTACTGCACTTTCTAGGTAAGTTGAAAAGAGTGTTCTGGCCAATGTTGCTGCAAAACTATAGATCTTAACAGGAGTTACGTAATTCACAGATCTGCCATCTCCCAGGCTTTTTACCAAAATGGCTAGTTATACTGAAAACAGAAACTTTTTTTACCAGTAAGTATCTTCTTTTGACCAATATTTAATTGTGTCACAGTCCAGTATTTAAACAGAATGTAGTTTGTCACCATGGGAAACAGTTATAAGAACAGATTTCTTGGCCGTGCCAACACTGAAAAATAAATTAGGCAAGTGGTGGTGGCTGGCTTAAAAGGAGATTAGCTATTTACAAACTCATTAGGAGCAGTGAGAAACCAAATGCCAATGCTGATAAATAGAAAATTTTTGTAAAGTACGACAAGCTGTTGCTACCAGTGTGTTAAGCTGAAATCTCAGCAGCTGTTCTATTGCTTTCCAGAAAGGTTTCACAGACTCTCAAAGTGTGAAATAAAAGGATTGAGGGATTTTGCAGAGCCAATCCTGCAAAATTCTCATCAGGCAGACATCAGTGGGAATTAAGAAGTGACTAGTGCATACTTCAGTGGTGAAGTTCTTCCAGAACTGAATTTAGAACAGTTTCATGATGACCTATTTAGTTACAATAATAATCACTGCATATATGTTCTGGACGCATATATGGATCTGGAGTAGCCTGAGTAAGGAAAATGCCTGCAAAAAGAACACACCGATCACAGGAAACAAGGACTTTATTTTCTTTGAATCTTATTTTCACTGCTGTTATAAGGCATTCTGTTACCAACTGGCTCTCCCAGGGAATGCCAAATGCACAATAGTGAAAACATTTCAAAACAACACTGCTATACTAAAAATAACTCTTTTTATTGCTCTCTTAAACACTTCTTTTTTGTCCAGCTTATTAGGCCCTTGATCTTTCCTCCTAGGAGACTTCTCTGCTTCTTGTATAACAAGACAAGAACTTAGGAAATTTCTTCTGTGCAAATTGCCACCAATCAGTTTCTCTGGCCACAAGTCAGGCGGTTTATTTAGACAGTTAATTTTAGTCAGAATTGTAGAAGACATAGCAGGAAGGATCCAAGACACCAAAAGAGATGTCTTTGGGAGAAATTTGGCTCTGTCTTTTTCAAAAAATATTACCTTCTGACTCTTAAAAGCACACAATTCTGCTGTACACATGATGCACAATTTTATTTGTAAAGCTTATTTATACTACCCAACTGTAACCACCTAACTTAACCAGCTCTTTTTCCCAACCTGTCCCTACGGTTAAAAGGAGTTATTTGAGAGTGGCCAAATGAGATTCCTAATTTAGGAAAATCTCTCCAGTGAGTTCAAAGACAGCCCAAAATGAGTGAAATAAACCACTCATCTCTCCAACTTCTATTCAAAATTACATGGAGGTAGAAACACTTTTTCATTCAACTGCAGAGCAGCAGAAAGTCATTTTAAATGGGCCTCATAATAGGACAGCATAACCGAGTTCATTATAATCAGTGTAAATTAGGTTTGAGTCTGTAGAAAATAATTGATTCTATAGTGTGTTCCATTCCCCTTGTCTTTCATTGTATAGATCACACCATATTAGACCTTAACTGGAGAGCAATTATGTACTACAATACATACCAAGATCTTGATTATGAGCTTTCTCTTGTCCTTCCAGGTACAGCAGACTGTAGCCAGTCCATAATTTTGGCATCCCCTGTGGACAGAGTGGTTCTCTGTCTGACTGACTGTGAAGGACGAGCAAGAATCCACTTGCAGATCTAATATGGGAGCCTGGTGGTCCTGGGATACCAGTCTGGCCAGGTGGGCCTTATACACAGGAGAAAAGGTAAAAGAAATTTACTTGTATGAACACATAGCTAGTGTGAACTTTTTACTATATTGAAGTGTTCAGTAAGGGCTTCCTGACTGAATATAATATAGCTTCACAGGTTGTCATGGGCAATAAAGACACCAGCAGACTCATGTTATCCTTTTTATGGGAGAGAAATGAACTAGATTGCCACTGAATGCCTGAGAGTTGCCTTTTGTATTGTGCTGTATGGATTAAGAAATGCACTGAGGTGGGCAATGATTTCCCAGACTTGCTAGGATGACTTGTCTGGTCTGAATTTGAATCCCTGCAGTAACAGTTGATGCCCTTTGCTCATGTACATATTAAACCATTAATTTATTAAACAGCAGTCACAGTTAAGATACAAGTTTAATTACTCACAGACAGTTGCACCATTACCCTGACTCAGAAATACATATCTACTGATATATGGTGTTTAAGTACCTGTGGTTAATTGCCTTTCTGGTTAATAACAGATGCTGAGATAAATTTTGTTCCGAGAGGTGTGTTTTATGTGTTGTGAAATCATTCACAAATGTCACTCTCAGTGCTAGAACTGAGAGGGAGGTAGAAGTGTCATGGTACCTTAGGCGAGAGGTGGATGTATCCATGTGTGAATTGGGGGAGTAGAAAGAAAACTTAGTCTTGACATCATTTCACACATCTCGCCCCCAAAAGTCATGCTCCATTCTTACCTTGTGGCCCAGCGTACCCTTGCTCTCCTATATTCCCTTGGTCACCTGGTGGCCCGGGTGCCCCTGGTAAGCCATCTTGACCCGGCAGGCCACATGACCCTTCTTCACCTTTTCTTCCTAGATGAATACAAAGTATGTGCTTTCCCTTCATGCGGCTGCATTAAAGGTTATACGTTGTCCAAACACACACAGTATGCAAAGGGCTGGTCAGCAGAACTGACACCACCAAGAAATGGCACTTCAGGACAAAGGGGTGCAGAACTGCCTTCTGCTGGGAATTCTCTGTACAACTTAGTCACCTTGTGGCCACAGTAGTGGCTCAGAGGCATGACCTTAATAACAGCAACTGCTGCTAAGGTTTTATGTCCTCTCTACAGAACTCATGTGACTTACAGTTGAAATCAAACCACTAACAAACATTATCACGACAAGCCTCTTGCAGAATTGCCATCAGTATCTGTACCATGTAATGAGTTATAACATCCCATGGCAGGCCTTCATCTTTTAGGATGTAACTCAGGAAAGTCTTTAAGCATGTACTGAACTTCCTGTGAAGTAATGCGTGTGTTAGAGTACTTACAGAATGGGGAGGGGCTGCAGAATTGGACTACATCCAGTGGAGAAGGGTAAAGATATTTTAGGCTCCTGATGGCCTCACCTTTTTATGTTTCTCATACGTACATGCATTTTTATGCATTAGCAGATAATGAGGTGTGGCCGTGGCAGTAAAAGATAGATCTTGCATACAGGGCACAGATAGCGATGGTCCTGTTCACTGGCTACTTTAAACATAATCCAAATTGGACAAAGTTACACTTGTCAGGTATTATTGCCCTCAGCATTGTTTTTTCTCCTTTAGTAATAAACAGTTTTCAGATGAATGTTCTCTAGCACCACAGTTGTTTCTCATTAATCGTGTGTGTTTCATTCCTTGCAAATTTTGCTACTTAACCTGCAGACTGAGCAATTCAAGGTTGTCTTACAACATGGAAAATTTCCCCCTGCTACTTTTAAATAGATTTGCTAAGAAAATCTAAACCAGTCAAAACAATTTAACAGCTTTTCAATGTTGGTTGCATAGTTATTTTATCAAAGCTCAAGTACACTGAAGTTTCAGTAATATGCATTTGTTTTGCCAGTAAAACCTCCAGTTTGCCTCCCAAGCCAGGAGAAAATTGGAATTCTGCTATCTATCTTAATTAAAGGAAAAGTATTACTAAGTGTTTCTTTCATAAAACCAGTGTGAGCATGTATCACTGTATCATCTGGCTTCGAAGAAACTATTTTAGTGCTGTATGGAATGGAAATGCAGCAGTTCAACCCCAGAAACACCTCTTACTTGGCAAATCGATTAAGATATGTAAGACTAGATAGTTCACGGAAAATTGCCTTATGTTTAATTTCATGAGGGGAATGACTGCTGCAGGGAACTTCCTGGGAGAAAATGTGTGATTTTTCTGGAGACGTCGGATGTCCAGTGCAGCCACCACAACAAACTTTTGTTTCCCAAGCAGGAAATATCTAAAACCACGTGAGGGATTCCACTGTCTAAACTGAAGACACCACATTTAGACACAACCTAAACTGAAGACACTACACAGACATACTACACTCTATGAAGATTGCCATTCTGTTGGAATCGTCAGTACCAGCATCACCCTTGTTTTCTTTTTATCTATCAGAAGAGTGTTTCAGTCTCTCATCACTTCTTTTTAAGATCTCTTTGGCCAGTTTTCTTTTGTGGTAACTTTTTCATGTTCTAACAGATAAAAAGTGCTATCGTAGCTGCCTCTGACTTCAGTGTCCTTTTAGGACTTTGGTTACCAGAGCTTTGTGATTCATTATTGCTAAATTTTAAAGCATGTATATTTTTAACATTCTCCAAGTATAACCTCTCTAAACCATAGGAGTGGTTTGAGGCATTACTTTTTCATTTGTTGGTAAAAAGGAAAAATACCGTTTGAAGAACTCTTTTTCTCAACAGTGCATGAGGTTTTTGCCCTCTCTGGCCTAGGAAAAGGGAAAGCAGTGCAGGCAGGCTCCAGCAGCCTGCTTCAGCTATACTGATCCATCAGCCTCAGTATTAACCAGCCCACTACATGTTTCTGGAGACCTGGTAAGTGTTCAAAGGGAAGAGACAGATTGAAACATAAAGTAGTAACACTGACACTCTGACCCTTTTCAGTATGTTGTCTAAATGGCTAAAATACACATCCAAGCTTCCAAGACACAAGCCTTACCTTGGGGTCCAGGGTGGCCTATTGCCCCTGGTAATCCTACAGAGCCATCATCTCCTCTTTGCCCTGCTTCCCCAGGAGGCCCTGGGATTGCAGGGCATGAATCATCTATTTTTCCTGGTTCACCAGGGTCACCTGGAATATGTAATAGGAAAGTAAATTAGAAGATAGGTTAATAGCTCCCATGTGAAGAATCAACATAACAGGTAGCTGGTTTTAATATACAAGTGTATACTTTAACTCTTTTAAAATCTTGAATTACTGAGTCTCACTACTTTTAATTTTACTCTTAGTCTTTTAGAACGGCAGTTAACAGCATGGCAAGTATGTGTTAGCAAGTGTATGCTAGCTGATATGTTTCAAATATTTGGTGTACGTTTTCTGTCTTAATGTACGCCAAACTGATTTGAGTTAAAGCCTAAAGTCTACCCAACTTCAGCACAAACACCTTACACACATAAGACCTTACACAAGATCTACAGTATTTTGCCTGATCTGTAGTTCAAAACCATCAATAGGCAGGTCAAAGAAGCTAACCCACAATATCAATTTAAAATAATTATAATAAAAAAATAAGGAATGGCTGCATTTTAGTTATTGAAAGTTACCGGGAGCTATTGGCTATTTGCATTTTGGAACAAAATCAGAATCGGATCAATTTAGTCAGATTAGGAGTTCAGTGTTTGTAGTGATCCAGTGTTAGGATTCAAGCTTTCGTTAAGTTTTTGGTTAGAAAGCATCTTGTGTGACAATGAAAAAAAATAAAAATTGATAATTTGAAACTAAAGTATTTTACCAGTCTAACTGACATCATGGCATGAGAGTTCTCAGTCTACCATTATCATGATACTGGTCTGCTTGGAAGTGCTAGCTATTTATGTGAAAAATCTCAAAACTATGTTGTAGCAGTATCTGCTATTCCTAGCAGCCAAGCCAAGAATACTTTCTAATAAGAGTAGAATGTATCTATACAGAAGGAAGCCCACATGAAAAGAACAATAATCAATAGTCATGAACTTACCTATGAAACCTGAAGGATTTGAAAAATGGAAAGCAGATTGTGGCCATTGTGGTGCAGGTGGAAACAAGTTTCAGGCATGTAAATTAGAGTAAAGAATGGAATGAGAACTGAAATCACTTACATGAGGTGACATTAGAAACAAATAAATAGTTCAGAAATTTTTACACAACTCAAATGATCGATCAATTAAGTTGGTTTTTTTGAGATTAAATTGCCTGTATGCAAGTAAACGTTAGTAAGATTATATGTGAATAGAAAGATCACAGTTATAATTGAGTGACAATGAGCAACAGGTTCATGAGTACCTGTGGGACCTCTGGGACCAGGTTTCCCTTGAAAACCTTGGTCTCCTGGTTGTCCTATAGCACCAGGTGGACCCTGTGGGCCATGGATTCCCATAGGACCTGGAAAGAAAAGTTGTGCAGTTGCATTCCAAAGAAGGTGCACACATAAATAAGATGAAGTCAGGCTGCTTGAGTAACAAAAAATGCTTGGGTATCTGAAAGCAGAGTATCTAGATCCCTGCTTTCAAATTAAGGAATCTGTTGAAAGCCCAAAGCTATTGATATGGGGCAGATGTGAGAGACTATGCCTGCATCTTCCATAGTTTCTCAAGACCCCTGCAAAGCAGTCAAGGTTTGCTTTACCTGGCAGACTCAAAAGTTTGACTTTCTCATTCTCAGGTTGGCAGGGAAGTCTTCCAACAAGCTGTTGCAAGCAGTACCTGTGAATCTGGCTCTAATCTGACCTACCCCAGCCCCATCTTAGGTAACAGGGCAGAGCTATGAAATGTCCAGCCTACCCCTTCTGTCTCGCTCAGCCTCCAATGGCAATCCCCTGTGCACAAGGCTTAGTTGCACAGGGCTGGGCATAAGTGCACACACTAGTTAAAAACATCTCAGATCGTACCCTTTAAGCCTCTTCTTCCTTGGCTCCCTGGAAGACCTCTGCCTCCTTGTTGCCCTCGCTGCCCAGGATTACCAGGTGCCCCTTGAATACCGATATCACCTGGATCTCCTTGCACAAAGACAGTCTCTCCAGGTGGACCAGGATTCCCAGGCTGACCTATGGTAAAAAAAACTTCATTCTTAATATATGCACAAAGTATAAATGTCTAAAAATAGCCATGTTCCATTGTTTGGGATTTTTTTGCTTTTGGGTTTTTTTCCCTGGGATGTAGGACAGCCCTCGTGTGTTTTTGGAAATATTACCACTAGCCATTCTCTAAGGCATTGTAAGGAAGACAATAATAGAATCTACATAGTTTTGGGAGCTATTCCTATGTAAGCAAAAGGTGGCAAGTTAACGTTATATGCACTGAGACATCGTTTTTCTATATTTATTATAGCATTGCTTACCCTTCCCATCTCCATCCCCTGTTTCCCAATAGGAAGTAAGTCTTTGTACTGGGTAAGGAAAGGTTCAGGTAATTACTTAGTGTAAGGGGTCAGAACAACTTGAAAGAGTTCTATTTGAGGACCAGAATCTGTAGGAATTGACTGGTGGATTGCTTGCCAACCCCTGCTTGTAACAGAAGTGAGGTCTACGTAAATGCTTACAAAGTTGCCAGCTTTAGCTCTCCTAGGGCTGGATTTAGATTGGAAAGCTTTTTGTGGGTTTACCAACAATGGCAGGCCTCTGGACAATGTCTTTTATCCTCCTTGCTAGGAAGAGAGGCCAGTAATCTTATTTCTGTTTGCTTCCTGTGGAAACTGAGATATGTTGTAGCAGCAGGACTTGTACAGAATTACCATACAGGCCAGAAAACTGAATCGGGAGATCTGTATTTTGTCCTTGCTCTGGTGATCTGTTCAGTGTGTGCTCACTGAGGTATTGATTGGTTTCTGTTCCCTATGCACTTCTATACGGTGTTCCACAGACAGCAACCAAGTGACTCAGAGTAGCCTCGGAGGATTTTTACATGATTGAAGTAGGGTTTTTTTGTTTTAATACCTCTGATGCCATCTAAACCAGGTGGTCCTTGATCACCTGGAGGACCAGGAGAAGCACTGTCAGGTGATCTTCCCATAGGTCCAGTGGGTCCAACAGGTCCTCTTCTACCTAAGGGATCACATTTTACAAAAAAAAAAAGACAATAGATAAAAAAATCTGAGGGGTTTTTTTTTTAGATTACAAAATTAAGTCACTAAGAGAATGTTGATATGTGAAGTCATGGAGGTAATGTATGCTTGCACCTGTATACTGAACATACCAGTGATTAGGCTAATGAAGACATCTTGTAGAAGTGAAAATATTTGTTATTTTTAAAAATTTTTAATTCTTTCCATAAAATCTACTTAAACTAAAGAATGCATCATCACACCTTAGCATATTGCCACAAATAGCCACCTTCTCCAGAATTCTAACAATGGGACAAATGGTAAAAATGCAGGATGAGTGGGGACTATGAAGTCATTCTGCCTGGGACAGGTTAAATATTCACAGATTGTTCCTAGCAGAAGTGAGTTCAGCCGGTTTCCTAAAAACCTCAGTGAACAAGATGAACTTACTAGCCTTAAATGTATTTTTTTTCCTAATTTGTAATCTGAATTTTTGCAAAATAAGATATCAGTGCTCTTACATGTGACAGGCAGGAACAGTTACAGGTTATCCTCTACATTAACACTTTTGAATAGTCGCAGCTTGTTAGTACATGTATCATATTCTGTTGCCTTCTCTTTTTTACAAAAAAACAAATCTAGTATCTTCAGTCTTGTTTTTGACCCCATCCTTCCATTTACTGTCTAGTGAATTCTAGTTTGTCAAAGCTGGACACAGTATACCATGGGAGGCCTTGCCCATCCTGTGTCAAGCAGTGTTAATATATCTTAGAATGACACTTTTTCCCACAACAGCATCATTCTGTTGATTCTCCCAGTTCATGAACTAGTAAGTGAATTGAGAAAAATGACCGTGTCTTCACCTTAGAATAATTCACCTCACCAGAATTCACCTCTGCTATGTGTTAAGTGGCACTGTTTGATAGAGTAAAACTAATGTCATTTCTAGTCACAGAATTGCTGAGGCTTGAATGGGCCTCTGGAGACTTTCTAGTCCAACCCCCTCCTCAAAGCAGGGTCAGCTAGAGCATTGCCTAGGACTTTGTCCAACTGGGTTTTGCTTATCTCCTAGACGGACACTTCATTGCTTCTCTTGGCAACCTGTTTCTATATTCAATTACTCTCACAGGAAAACCAAAACGTTTCCTTATCTTTGAGTAGAATTTTCTGCATGTCAGTTTGCGCCCATTGCCTCTTGTCCTGTCACTGGATACCACTATGAAGAATCTGTCTCCATGTCCTTCCCATGAGGTACTTTCATACATTGATAAAATTCCCCGAGGCTTCTCTTCTGGAGGCTAAGCAGTTCCCACTCCCTCATACGACAGATGCTCTAATCTCTTACCCTTCTTAGTGGCCTTTCCTCAAACACTTGCTTTTTCCTATTGCTATGTAATTCCTGTATCACCAAGGTTCTTAAATAATCATAGCAATCTTGTGATACAGTTCCATCTTGCATTAACATCAGAATAGTTGATAAGACTTACTATATTTCTGTTACTACCAGATCTCCTGCACTCTTTTTCTTCAGGAATTTTTTCCCAAGAGGCAACTCCACCTAGCAGTTCCCTGAGTCTGTCCAAGTCCATCATTTTCTATTCACCTTCATTTCACCTCTGTAGGGCACCACTAGGGAGAAAACCCTTTCTTACCTGGGAATCCTGGGAATCCCCTTTCTCCAGGGGGGCCTGGAATAGAAATACCAGGCCATCCAGGTTCACCTCTGTCTCCTTTTGGTCCAAGTTCCCCTGAGTATCCTGGGGGCCCTGTTTCGCTTTGACCTTTATAGGAAAACAATTATGTACATAACACAGTGAGTACAAATACAGATGTGCAGAATAGAAATACCAGCTGCAGATGTTCCTCCTTGCAAGGGTTGCCTAGTGCTATTTTTCTGGTTCTCTCTTGGAAGCTGGATAGAGTTTTGTTGAATCTGGCCCTAATTCATCTCTTTCAAAGAAAGTAATCTCTTTGCTTTAATGTGCTTCTTCAGGGGTTATTTTATATGGTGTCATTATTGTCTGTAATTTGAAATGTAAACTGATTGCATGGTCCTCAATTTAATTTTCTATCAGCGTAAATTTGTAATCTCTGGATAGATGGTGAGCACTGTTTTTTAATACTGTTTCAAAAGCAACTTTTGAAAGTTGCAAATACATCAGCATGAGTGAAATCCAGGTTCCTCTTAAGTTTGTGGCACAACTCCCATGGACTTTAATGGGGCTGGGATTTTGTAAGTCTCCTTTTAATTTGTTAGTTTATCTTTTACACATGAAAAACCTGGACACTTGGCTTTACTTTGAATCATCTGCACTGAACATGTTCATTTTATAAACAGCCTTGAAAGGTTCCAATGTAACTAGATGAGTAATGGAAGTTTTAAAGTTTTCCCCACAAATAACTGCAGGTGTGTCATTAGGCATACTTTAGATTCTGTTTGAGAGTGAGCTTCAGCAGGGAAGGCAAATATCAAAATAATGTGCATCATTCCTTGTAGATTCATTCATTTAAGAGAAGATTTTCTGTTCCACATAGCTATTTGTTGTCTTTACCTGGAGCTCCTGAAGAACCTTTTTGACCTTTTAGTCCATCCAAGCCATCCAGTCCGGGCAGTCCAGGAAGACCTGAGAAGAATTGCAGGCATGATTGGGTGCCACAATCATACTTTAAAGTCACAATTAAAAATGATGCCATTTTTTTCTGACAACACATTCTGGATCAAGACAGGGTATTTGCCAAATCTGATTCTTATTGGCAACTGAAGACAAGATCACATTACACCTGAATGTATCCTTTTTGGAAAGGAAAATGTGAAGAAATCTGAAAATAGCAATCATAATACAGTTTCACATCAAAGCAATCAGAAAACATACCTTTTAATTCTTTATTTCTGTACTGCAGCTAGCAGCAGGAAGCTCAGTAAGGGTTAATTTACTCTATAGTGAACCTTGTATTGTGGCTAGACTACTACTGCTACATGTGATTAACTAGTCCAATGTTAGCTGTGTTATCACTACATGACCAGGTGACTGGGATGCAGACACCGCCTAAAATAACGGTAAAGCTGGAACTTCTTTACAGCTTCTGTTCCAAATGTACGTGCAATTTAATCTAGCTGCACTAGAAAGAAACTAAATTTTCACCTGGCTGCTTTTCCCTGGTCCTGCAGATTTCACATAGAAAACTATGGTTTTTTTCTTTTGCATCACACTGTTACAAAAATTCTTTGAACAGCACAAAGTCTTTGAAGACAATGAATCTGTAATTGAGATCCATGCTGACACGTGACAGTATACAGTAGCTTTGTCACTAGTGATGTTCTCTGGATGACCAGATCACAGGCTGAGTGTTCATGGTAGTCAGCTGTAACTTTTGCTTTATAATCTGTGCTTTTTTGAAAATTGCTAAACCGCAGTAAGTAAAAACATAGAATGCATTTTTTAATGCCTTTTTTAAAGTAGAACTAATCAGAGATTGTGTCTGTTGTTTGCAGTGGAGGGTAAAAAATATCTCCATGTCATTAGCATTTTATAGTTGTGAAGGTGTATAGTTTAAGTTGTGTAGATGAAGTATCAAATGTGAAGACATACACTTATTAAATGCAGATGGCAGCTTATCGCCTGGTCATAGGAACAGATTTGGCAAAACTGATGTGTCATTTGGTAACAGGTTTCAAAGAGGTTTCAGACAGAGCAATAATAGACTTGGGATGCTCCTTGCTCCAGAGGGGGACTGATTAGAGTGGACACTGATCATCAAGAAGTTGAACAATACTGTCAGTGCCTATTCCTGTCTCTCTTCCACCTTTGCTGCTTCTGTCTGCCCAATTTCCTTCCCCACCACTTGCTCTCCCTGCCATGTAGGATTCCCAGTCCAGTTGCAGTGTTTTTTTTCCAGAACTCTGAATTATCTTTGTCTCCTTTTCCCTAACTACTTTCCACCATAGAAGATGTAGGTTCTCTGTTTCAGTTCCTGTGCTTGATCCCATCATGTCCTGCAGCATGCAAATCTGCTGTATATCCAGAGCATGAATCATAGGAGAATTTATTGCTCTACTTAAGCACATATGAATGGATTTATTTTTTTTAAAGTTTATAAGCTGGTCAAATTTGGCAGGGACAAATTGCTGTAGGAACACCACCACAAATGCGCTTCATCAAATGCTTCACCTGCCAAATTTAAAGGTCCCTAGTTCAAAGATGGGTCATCTGACAAAGAGAACTCTAGTGCACATTTCTTTTGCCTAACAGATACACCAAAAATAATACTCCATTACCTTTGTTCTCAGAAACTGTTGAATTATATATATTTTAGTTAAAATTTAATGAAGAAATAAAAAGAAAGGGGGGAAAAAATAATAATCCAGCCTGTAGCAAATACCAGTCTGGAAAAATTTTAAATCCAGAAGATTGTTTGAAAACCTGCAAGACATTGATAATATGCTCTCTATGTAATTCCCTTTATAATATGGGACACTAGTAATCCAACCTGTAATATCTTCTGTGCCCTTAATTAACTGCTCTCTAACTTTTCATGACATTCTAAGTTTCAGTCCTGCTTTCTTTAGTCTGCTTGTGCTTTGGGGATGTTCCCATTTTTAAATTTATGTAGGAGTTGCATGCCAATTTGGGGAATTTAACAGTGGTATTTTAAAATGATTATGAACTCCTAATGATTTTTGGCACCCAGGTCACCATTTAAAACTTTTTTGATCTTTAGCTTATTCAGTCAAGATTGATGGCTTGGTTTACTTGCTTTCCAGGGAATTTCTGACACATTTGCCAACAATCCATTATAATATCAGCACTTGTAATTCTAGATTTTTGGATTGCTATAGTTCTATATATCTAGGTACAGCTGAATTGGCTGACCTATGTATGAACCACTGTTTCTGTATTTTACAGCCCAATTCAGCTTCTACTCACACAAGTAATTCTGCTGATGTTCTTAATACTACTTGCTTCATCAAGGATTACTCACATAAGTAAGGCTTGCCAGACTGAGCCCTTAACTAGTAAAACTATCTCTGTAATAAAGAAAATGTGATTATGCTTTGGTAGATGATGTTTAACTTTTTTTTTAAAAATCTACAAGATCTTCAGGCACAAGCCATTTAATGTAGACGAAAAGCAATTAGACTAACAAGGCTGTGTACTTAGCTATGAACAGCCAATTAACTATTTCACTTCTAATGCTAGCAACGATATTTATTAAAAACAACCTTAAGATCTATATTTTCCTACGAACTAGAATACAAATTCCATTCAGTTTTCATTATGGGGTATAATCTCAAAGACGTTAACCTTTTCAACTATGCTGGCAATACACAGACTCCTAAGGCTTAGCAGGCAACTTGGTCTCTAATGAATTTCCATTTGGAACTGAACTTTTCCCTCTGCAGCACGTGTTATTTATTATGTTTTCTGTGCAGGACTTGGGATAACTTCTGTACACTATAGAAGTGTCTTACCACTTACGACAAAGGAAAGAGCCCATCTGCTACTGAGAAGTTTTCAGCAGAAGAATGCTTTTTTTTTTTTTTTGATCCCTCTCAATTTAAACATCCCTGTCACTGCAGATCTCTGCCTTTGTTACAGCAAATGTTGTTTGTGACAATGAAATGTTCTCTTGCAGGTTATGCACCAGCAAGGAATCTGACATGACAGTTTAAATCAGCACCACTTACTTTACTGCAAGTAATCTAATCTGTTGCCTCCTCTAATAATTTATCATAGCGCCAAGTGTTACTTTACAGTGATTTCTGTATATGGGTCATTAATACTATTCTTCCTGTCCAGGAGCTGGTTATGAATCACACTATAAAAGAGAAAGAGGATACAAAGTACATAGTTGATTACCTTACTTTATAAAATACTAGTGTAACTTGTAATTTCAATGTATTGTTCCGAGTATAGTAAACATTAACAATGTTCTCCAACAAAAATAACTGTATAGATGAACTGCTGTTCAATCTAAAAATAACAATTATTGAGAGAAGTGTAAATTAGGATTTGCGGGAAACATTTCTATGTTAAATCCACCAAAATCAGGTTTCAGAGAAAACAAAACAACAAAACCAAGCCAAGTTACCTTATCACAATTTGTTAAAACAAATTTGTAAGACAAAACTGTCCATAGCAGTCTGCTGGTTTTGTAGAGTAACAGTGGCACTCCATGGTGAAAAGGTAGAACACAGCATAACTGAAGTGAAACATCTCAATTACTGCAAACTCCTTTTTCTTTCCTTAACTTCTGCTACCATTTACATCAGCTGAGTCAGAATCTGTTTCTACCTTCTTCCTTACTCATTTTAGATTGTAGCCCAATTTTGTGAGGTAGCATTTATGTTACTTTTCAAAGGTGATGGGAACTGGCTTAATTCTTCTAGTAGTTTAAGAGAATACAGAATCAAAATTGTGCTGACAGGCCTCTTCCATTTTCGCTACTAAAAGGGTATTTGTCTGGTGCTGTTACATTACCAGTAGAACTCCACTGTATACTGTTTACCTTTTCTGCCTTGGGATCCAGCTAATCCTTGCAATCCTGTAGGTCCCAAAATTCCATGTTTCCCTTTTTCTCCAGGTTCTCCTGGCAATCCCTGAGGACCTGTAGCTCCTGAGAGCAGAGGGAAAAAAAATCTGAATATGCAAGTCTATTAAACTGTTGGGTTTTTTTATGCTATGCCATACACTACGTTATTCAGAGGTACCTGAAAGTGTATGGGAATGTATGAAGAATTGCTAGATCTTGCTCTCTGAGGCTCTGAGCAGACTATTAGTGCTGTCTACAGGTACTGAAATACCTTTCAATACAAGCCTTCATGTGATCTCTGATTTCTCTAGCCTCTTCCACAGAGGTGCCTCCTCAGCTGCATTTTCCTGTTGCATATCTCTTTTGAGCTGTTACATGGCATTGTTTTTTAAACTTTGGCATTACCTGGAAGTCCTGGTATTCCTGGGTATCCAGGGTCACCCTTGGATCCTGATCTTCCAGGTTGCCCTTGGATACCTGGTGAACCCTTCTCTCCTGGGAATCCACAGGGTCCTTAAAGGGGAAAAAAAAAAAATCTAGCATTTATTTGTTAAAAGTTGCCCATTCTTCATCTCAGGATAAGTTTAAAAATATAGAAGTTCAGTAAGGGGTTTCTTGAGTAGAAAAAGAATTTTATTCAAATACTTTAGATCCTGGCATCTATTTATTAGCAATGAATAATACTGATATCTCTGGTGATATCTGAAAGAGCAGAAATGGCTAGCAAGATAAAGCCAAGCCAGGTTTTATTCTGGTAAGTGTTGGTATGTTCATCAGTGCTGTACTAGACAATAGTAGACTCTATCTCCTATGCTATCGCACATTGTGATGCCTCTCCAATCCTTGGGTTTGTAACTGTAGAAAATAGTGCTCAATATGCACAGAAAGCAGAGCTCCCTCTCTGCTAACAAAACTTAGAGAAAATGAATTCTTAGGTCCAATTTTCTTCTTTAATCAGACAGAGGTACCTGGTAATCCTGGATCTCCGGGAGGCCCTTTTCGACCGTGTATACCAAGCACAGGAGTTGGGTCACCTCTTTTGCCTGTTGAGGTACAATGACTTTCATTTCATACAAGTATCTTTTTCATCCACAAAAGCAAAGCTGGGCAATTTTGTAAGATCAGATAATTTGCTCATAGATATTAACAGCTATAAAAGGAATGGAGAGAACACAGAGTGAAAAATGCTTTGGCACATGCAAATTCACAGAATCATAGAATGGTTTGGGTTGGAAGGGACCTTAAAGACCATCTAGTTCCAACTCCTCTGCCATGGGCAGGGACACTCCCCACCTGACCAGGCTGCCCAAAGCCCCATCCAACCTGGTCTTGAACACTTCCAGGGATGGGGCATTATCTGCCAGCTCAGCCTGTCTTGAAGTACTTAACTCAGTTTGTGTGTAGTGTGACTCCTGGCAGTATTCTCGTACATTTCCCATAATGAAAAAAAAAACAACAAAAAAACATGGGAACTTTCCCAATACTGACAGCTTATACTAAAAATGAAAGATACTGCATAAATTCCCTATAACACTTTATTAAACACAGAGAACTCCTTACAGAGGTTTGTGAGGATGTGCAAAATCAATACAGTGTGAGTCTATTTACTCAGTAAAGATCTTTTAGGGACTAGCTGGGGACTTTAAGCCAGCACACCTTCTTTCTGTCTATGCTAAAATTCCTGTTGTTCGGAATTATTGATTCTGTGATTAATTTTGCCTTACACTGTCTGCACAAATGTCTGACCTCTCCTACCTATTCATGCTGTCTCCAACTTCATTGTCTGATTTTGCTGTGAAAAGCTAAGAGGAAATACTGAGTTCAAGTGTTGCTAAAAATCCCCTGCCATAGCAATGCCCGCTTTACTGGCTATATCCTGCTTTAGAATTAAGTTTTCATTAAGTTTGCTTTCAATACATTTCATGAGTTCTCTTTATATTGAGTATTGTTCTTTACTTTTTTTTGTGGGAATATATTCCCTGGCTGAGAAGTTCTTGAATTTTTGTAGTAATGGAAAATGTAGCTGAGAAAATAATTTCATTATTTATTAATAATGAAATCCTACTCAAAGGAAAACTGCAATATCATAGATGACACCATTTTGTATTTTTGCAACACTTTTAAAAATCTAAATGTTATAGATAATTTTTTCAGAGTGATCTCTACTTATGCAAAAAACAATATACAAAACTTCATCTTCTCAAATGAATAATTTTGCATGCATGGGTATGAACTCTGCCTGATCTGTTTTATGTTATGCTTTCAGAAGTTCTAAGAATTCAAAAATCATAGCCTGGGAAACACTGGAAAATAAGTGATACAAAGGAAATTATAAATCATGTTGGAATATTTAAAAACCTCTACATATCTGTGTAATGCCATACTATAATACCATAAATGACTGCATTTTCTCTTAATTGATTTGACAAATTTTACAGATCTATGAGTGGATTTTTCCATGTGTTTGATAGAATTTTTAAACTCCATGAAATTTGACAGAAATTTGCCTTCTAAATTAGCAAGATGTACTTTATAAGGAACAAACTGTTAAGGATGAAATGCAGATTTTGCCTTCAGGTAAATCAGACTTGTTTCTAATGACATTCATGTTTCAATTACTTTCACTTCTGTCCTGTTTTGCCTTTTCTAGCGAGTACTCACCATCTATCAGAGCATATACGTCCTAACAATACTGCTCTTCAACAGCCTGTCTACATAAACTCATTACCTTTAGATCCTTTTGGGCCAGTCAGTCCTGGATTTCCAGGGATTCCTGGTAAGCCAACATCACCCTGATTTTTTTAAAAACAAAATAAAAATGTTTGGATATATACGTGTAGCAGGAAT